ATCATAATTATATTATAATTAATTATAATTAAAAATAATTATGATTAATATGATAGAATAATCTTTCTCTATGTTTTTATGCCAGGAATGGTTCTATATATATAGTTTTCTGTAATAAATACGAATATGCTGCATTGTAGCCAATTTGTTGATAAGTGGATAAGTTGATATCTATCGCGGTGTAAATTGCCTCTATAATCAACTTGATATTAATGAAAATACAATAAATAAAAAACAGATAACAGATATGTACTAATTTTTATTAAAGATTGTATCTTTTATGTAATTATTTTGTAATAATCAAAATATTATTACAGAAAAACAAATTAAATTATCTTAGTTTTAGCTTATTTTAATATGGAAACATTAAATACAAAGTATTTTGTCAGAGTTAGTGTTTTGTCAAGTTGTAACTAAATATTCGCACATGTAATACAGCAAGTCTAACCTTTTCTTAATGAGCCAAAGTACTCCATCCCTACGTATGTTGTCTGATTTTGATTATTTTATTATTTACAAATTATTTCTTAAAATAACATGTTGTATTGTGATAGATGCTTTTCTTTTAATTAATAATATATCACTTAATTTACTTTCTTAAGCCGAAGAACATTACATAAGAAATTATGAAATTCTCAAAAATTTACTTGCCTTCTCCTAAGATTTTTCTTTTTTCTTCTTATATTTGTTTAATTTAAATGAATTAGGCAAAAATACCTATGTTATAAAAGAGATATTTTGCGGAGATAACTTCCATTGTTTCTTTCGTCATAAATACATAAACGTAACGCAATCAAGTTCCAGTCTTCTTTATAATATATATATGTCTTATCTGTTACGTTTTCACTTTCTAGATGGAATTAAACATTTTTAATAATATCTCGTATTTAAAAATACAAACAATGATTTATAATTAGACATAGAAATGGAAACTAAAGCATAATCTAAAGTACGTATCGTGCATTTTGGATCTGAAAAACGAATTTTTGGAAATGGGGTTTGAAGAATGTCCTCCACATAAATCGAAATAAACATAAATTATTAGGTATGGAAAAAAGTTCGTGGCGTTTTTCCCGTTAGATGGCATTAAAAAAACGCCACAAACTTTTTCCCACATCTAACATTATAAAGTTGTGTAACACATTCACTCATTTACTAATTGCATATAAAATCGGTCATTTGATTTCTTTTGAAGATTTCTATACAGAAAGAAAGAAATTTTGCTAAAGTATCTAAAAATTTATTAGCTATATAGATCTAAAAATAATTTGATTGGACCATTAAAATAATTTTGTAAGAAACTCAAGCATGATGAGAAATACTGTAAAATATTTTGATATTCCAGCAATTTTAGCGTTTTATACAATAATTATTTTGACCAATATAATAAAAAACGTAAATATATACAAAATTATGTAACACACATATTACAGAGTGTATTATAGAGTTGTGTAACACACATTTACTTACTCATTGTATATGAAATGGCTCATTTCATTTCTTTTGAAGATTTCTTACATCTATTACTAATTACGTTGCTAATAAAAACATTGACAGATTAAAAAGTCAGTCTCGCAATATTTGAACGAATAAAAAATTTGTCTAGATAATAATCGAGGAAGACCTAGATATTATATTATTGATAATTTTGTAAAAATTTCCATTAGAGTCCAAAATCAGTTTGTGAAATATTCAAATTTCTCTCTCTCAATTTCTTCGCGCAAAGACACGCCATAATATCTAAAATCGCCATTGTTTCCTTGCGATTAACACCTCTCAAACGCGAATGCTGGTCTGGTAACCGAAAATCAGAAGTTGAGTGTTTGCACGCGATACGTGATTCGAACTCGGAACGTCTATTGCATGCAGTTTCCTGGTCTTTTCGTTTCCGTGTTGACGACTGAATACATAGCTCTCGTGGTCACTTGACTTCGATCTCGCAATTCCCTAACGGACATTTCCTGACAAGTTTTCAAAATCTAGGGAAGCTAACTCGGCCAGTTAATCAAGTTCAGTTTTGCATTTGTGATTCGATGGTTCGCAAGTAGCATATAACGCACGTGCATATAACGTTTGTTACACCTCTCTGCGACAGACCTGGTACAGTCTTCTAAATGCATGTAGCATGAAAATTAACGTCTGTTTAGTAATCTGTTGTACTTTTATGTTTTATTTTTTATGTTATTGGCTCAATTATTTTGATGTAATTTCTTTCTTAAAATAAAATACTATGCGTACCAATTTTTATTACCGTCATAATTTCAAATATTTTATTCAAGTTTATATACATATCATATTTATATGTATAAATATGATACGTATAAAAAAATCACGATCTTGCATCTCAATATTTAATATTTGTAAAATTTTAATAAAGCAATAAAAATTACATTTTCACAATCAGATTGTAGAAAGTAAATAATGTAAAAGTTAACTTAAAATTGTAATTCTTCTTTCTTATTGTGCTTTCATGTTGTAATTTTTTATTACTACACTGAAAAGAAAAATTGATTGCTGCAACAATTTAGATAGTAAAATATAGCAGAGCATTTTTATATGGCTGCAGCAACTAGTTTTTAATTGTAGCAGCAAATTTTTAGTTGTGTTAGCCTATCTGCAATGTCAGTATATGATTTTGAGCTGCAACTAAAAATTTACTGCTACAAAAACTGGTTGCTGTGGCCATATAAAAATGCTCTGCTATATTTTATTACCTAAATTGTTGCAGCAACCAATCTTTTCTTTCAGCGTAGATATAATTCATTTAAAATAAAACTTTGAAATAAATTTGAAATAAGTTTTTCTTAATAAAATACTTTTTGCGTACCAAATTCCTAATTCTACAGAAAAAGAGATCTAATTTATTATACTTTACATGAAATTTATTTTATTGTAAATCATGTGTGATTTGCTATCTAAGATATTTAATAAATATTCATAATTGTGAAATTTTAATAACGAAAATTGAAAGACTTTGAGACAAATAATACTGCTATGTTAATAAAATAGAACTTAAAATAGACTTAAAATAGAACAGATATATTTAGTGTTTTGAAACTATAGCGCGACTACGGATGCATGGAACAGTACTAAAAAAATTTCATTTTATTTAAAAGCTTAAAATTACTCAAAAAGTGTCTTAATGTTTCAATTTCTTAATGTTTCAATTTTTTAATTTTACTGTCAAAAATGCATTGAAATTTACTTATAATTAAATTAAATTATTAAGTTATTGCAAGAGAGAGAGAAAGAGAGAGATGGAACAAATTATATTCTACAGTATATAAGATGTGCAATTTTGGAGATAAATAGGTGAAATACTTATATACTGTGCTTTATTATTTCGGACTTTGATAAAATAAGAGCTTATGTAAAATAGCTTTGAATTCTTAAAAACTTCTCTATCATAAAAAAGCACTAAAGTAACTATGGTCTTATATTGCAGCTCTCAATTTTCTGTTTCTGATACTGTATCTTGTTTCGTGGATAATAATGATTAATGTTTGCGCGCGTGACATCCATTAGGACCTGATTAGGGAAATGATGTAACGTACTCTATTCCTGACAGTCCGCGTTACTCTCAATATTCCGTGGCGAATAACTCAGAATTTTTAGAATTAATCCCCGAGAACGCGCATAAAGCGTGACTTGCATCGCGCATATCTTGCGCTCATGCGCCAAATCAAGACCGTATACATCGCGAAAGTTACCATCGTTTCGAAATTATCTATTCTCGCTATATCGCTATATCTTTCTCATATTCTTTATTAGCTAGGAAAAAAATCAGGTTGTCTCATAAATTTATTTTCTGAGATCACAGATATTTTAGAAAAATTTAGATAAATTCTTTGAATGTATTAATTTCCCATATTATTACATAATTCTGTATGTATAGAAACGTGCATGATAAAACGAAAATTTTCCTTAACTTCATCGTACATTTAGACTATTTAGAGTAAATTTTTTGCGGTCATTTAATTCAAAATTTAAACTTTTGCATATTATATTCATGCCTATCTTGATAATTACATTTATCAGAGAAATCGATACTTAAAAATTTTTAATTTTATTATTCAAAATTTAATTATATATAACGCATATATAATATAGAAACAAATGCAGTAAACTATTGTGAGAAATTTATCCTAAGTATAGGATCCAACAGGATCATAGTTGGCAAAGATAATATTTTTTTTAAAAGAACAAAACATATTTTTTATACATTTTTTAATGCTCCATACATGTTTTAAATAGTATTATATAAAAAAAACATGTTTTATCATGTAAAAATCGATTAAATATGTTTTAAATAGTTTAAAACATGTTTAAAATATGATTTTTACCAATACTGAGGACACTCGTTTCCATCTTGCAATCGATATCGTCCGTTATACGGAATCTGCACGTGGATGGGCTTCGACTTCGCTTATCGAGTCGCCAGATACGGTCCTGACAAGGTAGGTTGGTGGCGGAAGCCGCGACACAAAGAGGCATCTTTCGCCGTCATCCACGATGGGCTGAAGTCGCGGTTTCGCTGTTTCGCTTGGCTTATTGCGCGACGCAGCACTCGCGATTAAAGTGCGCCGCGTCGTCATCGCCGCCGTCGCCGCCGCCGTTGTCTGTCATCGTCACCGTCGACCGCATCGTGAACTCGTCTCGCATCAGCAACACGACGGTTCATAGGGGATACCCGGGATATCAGACGCTTTCCCGAGGGTGGGCGGTGTCAGGTTAGGTTCCCGTCCAAGGGTGAGTCTGACAATTTCAGAGCATTAACACGCTGATTTCCATATATAATTAGTTTGCATCTCTTTGTTTAATTGATTTGCCAATTCTCGTTGAATAATTTAGAAATTAGAGATTATACAAACAATTATGGCTATCCAAGTTTGATCAACAATGTGACGCTAATAGAACGATTCTGCGTCTTTTCTGATGAATCAAGCATTGCTTTGTTTACGTTATGCTTTTCCCGGAGCAATTTCTCTGCGCTTTTTGTCTTACTTTTTGCATCTTTATCTTTCTTTTTGGAAAAAATTTCTAGTTGCCAGAAAAAAATCCTAAAATTTTTTATTAATTGTTTTCAAGTAAATAAGATAAAATTAGATATGAGATAATCGTAAGATTGAATTTATTTGCTTTTCATCTGTTATCTGTTATTAAATTGATATTTATTACTCGTTTATCGGCATAGTTAATATTATGGTATAATTCTAAAAAGATTACACTATACAACTATAATTAATTAATATTTCACGGTTTGCATTATATAATTTAAATAATCGATATCGAACAGATTAATACTAATCGTTTATTTTAATAAATAATTAGTGAATGTAAAGCATATCAAATTATGTTAAATGTTAAATATTATCTTCGATAGTTGCATAGGATTTTATGTCTAATAATAACTTTTATGCTTACTAATAATTCTATATATTACGTCTTTACTACTTGCTACTTTTAAACCTTCTACTATTTCTATTAAATGGATGTTTTAATTTATTTTAGTTTATTAAGTCCATTTTAGACAATCTATAATGTGCTTGGAATTTCAAGATATAATAGAATTCTATTCATAGCTTTATATGTTATATCTTTCGTGATGTATATATTGTGACGTATTTTATATCTCTACGTGTATTGTACTCCTGATATTTTCATATTTTTTCCTTATTTATTAAAAGGGCGCATAAAATTATAAATAGAATTTACTCTTGAATTCTGAGATGAATATAAAATAGACTTAAGAATGAATATAATAATTATTCAAATTTTCAATTCCATAATTTAGTTTCAAAATTTTGATAAATCCACAGCAAATTAAATAAAATAAATGTTTTTTTATAAAATATATTTTTTACTTAAATTTTTTGCTTTCTGTTATATTGGCGACATGATGCGTTTAAAATATATAATTTTAAATAAGCTAAAAGGAACTTTTTACTCTCTCGTTCCCTCAGCCTCGCTATGTTTGGTTACGCATGAGAGCAAGCAACACGCAATCTAATCCGTAATTTTGCTCGTTCTATTCTCTGTATCTGAACCGCTTTGTACCTGTGAAAAGGGCGAGGTTCATGATGTGTTTCAGAATCGTAGCTTGAAATTAATTCCAACGAGCATGAAAGTTCCACTTTGAGTTCACTTTAGATCTGCTTTTCATGTATTCAGAATTTACGAAAGAATTTTATTTATAATTTTATATACCGAAAATTTAAAGAATTAGAAATATAAAAATATTAAATTACACACATATATCGAAATACACAACATATGATATTATAATCGAAATTCTATTTTAAAAT